GACGAACATAAAGATTACTTATTGAAAATGTTGAGAAAGTTGCTACTGTTCTTTCTCCTTATTCTTTGTGAAACTTGACAATAATTTAATATACCTTTTCAATCGTCGAAAATGAGATTTAAAGAAAATTCATAGAACAGCTCGGGAAAAAAATGTATCCTTGAACATTCAACGTAATTTAAAATGTGAGAGAGAAATGATTTTTGTTATTCGCGTATTTAGATTCAGTTTTAATGCAAAGTAAATATAAGATTCATCCAAATTTTTATGAATTTTTCTTTCTGCTTTATTATTCGTCTTTCAGTTTTTAGAAAGTATAAATCTTCGGTTTTAGAGTAAAAGTGCGACACCTCGTATATGCAATCCTGTGAAGATTACGAACACCACTTGCTATTATGTAAACGTATATTGCACAAATATAAATGTACATTTATGGCTATGTTTAAATTTGGCCATGTTCGTGTCTAAAGTGTTATACAAGCATGCGGCAATACACTGCACACATTACTCACCGAAGTACTCATACATAAGTATACATAATCGAAGTCGGACGCACGTACAAGTACACAGATACGTTGAAAATATTGGATGGGCGAGACGTGCCAGGAGACGAGATCCTGAGGAAGAGATTTCCTTCGATTTATCGGTAGCCTTTAAATATGCGTTGCCTCATTTTATATGTTGAGTATATTACTCAACAGAAATAGAGAGTCTTCCTTATATTTGTCAAATAGAAAGGTCTCATTTTTAACAAGATATAAAGGAAATATATGTCACGATTCACGCGACACATCTTTTTCTTTGAATTATAAGATTCTTGAATTTAGGATCAACCTATGTACATATTGCGTAAATATATCTAAAAGAGAGATATTCTTTTTTTAAAAAAATATATATAATGCACGCATATACATATATATACATATATATGCGGGTAATAATATATGCCATTTGCAAGTCCGGAGTTTGCAGGAAAGTTTTTTTTTTCATTTTTATCGTATCGCGTGAATATGCATATAGGCGGAGCGATAGAATTTTCTGAAACTATAGCAACCCTGTACGAGGTACAACAGAGTGGTGAATGTAATACGGCTGCATTTCAACGGTGATATGAGTGTACGTATACGCATACATGCTGCGATGACAAATGTAGAACATTTCTGTTTATACATCAACTTTGTGGGTAATTCGATTTGAAGATTCCGAATATCTTTGACCGATATAAAAAGTAATACAAGGATAAAGTAAGCACAAGGTGAGAAAGAGAAAGAGAGAGAGAGAGAGAGAGAGAGAGAGAGAGAGAGAGAGAGAGAGAGAGAGAATGTAATGTAAGAATAATATAAATCACAATTTTTTATTATATAAGTTTATCTTCACAATTTACTGAATCAATTTATAAATTATAAAAGTAATAAGGCTCAATAAATTAAAATAAATAAAAAGGAAAGAGGGCTACGAGCCTAAAAACAATCAAAATTGTCATAAAATGACAAACTGTAAATAGTTAAAAAATAAAATAAAATATGTTATAAAATTAAAAACATAAATTATAATTTAACAATCAGAAGGTAAATAAAATAAACGTTTCGATCCTTGTTGGATCATTTTCAATGTGACAAATAAATTAATAATAGAAATGTAACGTAGATAAAATATAAGAAATTAAATAAAATTCGCATTCGGACGCAATATTAATTATAAAACTCGCTCCAAATGAGAGAAAATCAAACAAACGATTATAGTTGACACAAATGTGCTCCTGCGAACCGTGTGTGTGTATAAGGACGAGCATGTTTCTGTTAGCAAGTATAAATTATAATAATAAATTAACGACGGAAGTAAATAAAAATAATAAGAAAAGTACAAATCGAGTCGCAAACAATAAAAAGAAAGGTAGAAAACAAGTCGCAAGTAATAAGTTAAAATTAAAAGAGAGGCAAAAATTATCTTTGATATTATAAGACAAGCACATAAGAAATAATAATGACGATAGAAAAAGAGTAAGAGAGAGAGAGAGAGAGAGAGAGAGAGAGAGAGAGAGAGAGAGAAATGCCGACATTCATTGTATATGCATAATGAGTTTAGAACAAATAAATTTATAATAAATACCTTATGTATGTCAAAATGATGTGTTATCGATTAGGCAATGCGATGGGAATCGAAATTGATTATCTAGGAAGCTAAGAGATAAAGTACGATATATAAAGACAGGAAGGTTGAAATGGAAAACTAAAAAGGAAGGGGAACATAAGAAGGAGAAAATAAAGTAGAAAGGAGAGAAAGTAGAGAGAGAAGAGATGGATAGGAAAGGGAAAGCAGTTAAGAAGGAGAAAGAGATTGGATGATTTTTGAGTAAGTATCAGGTAAAGATTCGGTATCATTTTGCCTATTAAGGCCCTGTTTTGTCTTTTAATATGAATCTATTTATTTATTTGTCATAATTTATTTGTCACATTGAAAATGATCCAACAAGGATCGAAACGTTTGTTCACCTTCTGATTGTCAAATTATAATTTAATTTCATGACATGTTTTTAGGCTCGTAGCCCTTTTTCCTTTTTATTTATTTCAATCTATAAATGCTCTCGTTTTATTCACACATTTTAGCACATCTTGCTACGTGTACAAAAACTGTTATTTGCAGACAAGGAAGATCTTTTTAATTGAAAAAATGCTGTATTTTATGGAATACTGCCAGCAAAAGCAGATCAAACGTTACTCTCTAATTTATACTTCACATAAATAAAAGGATTAGATTACAAAGTAATTGAATGACCCAATTCAAAATTAAATAATTTCTATAAATGAAATAAGTAAAAAAGAGTCAAATAGGATCACTAAATCTTGGCTTAATAATATTTATATGTAAATTTTTTAATATGTCTTCCATTTATAT